GGATGCTGTAAATCAGGAACAAAACCAGAAGTCGCTGGAAAAGCTCAGCAGGTCTGGCAGCATCTCTGAAGAAAAAAATCAGAGTTAACATTTTAGGTCTGGTAACCCTTCCTCAAAACTGGAGGTGCTGCCAGACCTGCTGAGCTTTTCCAGCAACTTCTGGTTTTGTTTACCCACTCCTTTGTCCGTCTAACTGTTTTTTTTCTTTCTTTGGGATCTATCTCCACCCTCTTCCTACCCGATCTTCTGCATAAATGTCAACGTTTTCCTAGCTACCATGAGTTCTGAACAAGGGTCACTGGACCCAAAACATTAACTCTGATTTCTCTCTACAGATGCTGCCAGACATGCTGAGTTTTTCAAGCAATTCGTTTTTTTTTATTTCCTGCATCCACAGTTATTTTGTTTTTTTTTAAGTGTGGTGACTCGGTTTCCTAGCCTGTTAGAGAGACTTGTCTTGCTTGGTAACCAGATTGCTGAGGTGCCCATCTTCACAGCATGTCACCCTCCAGCCATTCGATCAATATACATTTAATCATTCTGCATGGACAGAGGAGCCCACTAATAAAAACGGCTTCCATATCAACTTTAGGCTAAAGGACCTTTCTTGAATTCATAAATCAAGTTGACACTAGTTCCATAGACCTTTACAGCCTTTTTGGCATATTACCTTACCTTTGAGTGTAGGCAAAACATTTCCAACCAACGTAGCTGGATGTGATCCTCTCCCCACTTGATATCCATGCAGGAATGTGTCCAAACACTGCACTTTCAGTCAGGGCCCTCGTAGATGGCAAATCAGGAGCAGAGATCTTTAGCTGTATTTTTTCTCTTTAGCTCAGGAAGGCTGGGACAGTGACAGCAGGCCCATCCACCAATCATGAACATACCTAAGTATAGCAATTGTAATGAGGTCAGCCAGCTGGACATCAGAATATGAGTTCCATTATTGGGGCTGTTAATCTGGTCCAAATCAGGGAGCCCTGGCTGACATAAAAACAGGCATGTCAGAGATTCTGGGACTCAGAGCTGACTCTGAAGAGATGTAAATAAAGGGTGACTTGGTGATGGGATACCAGCCTCTGTGGAGTCATTTCACAAGGGTTTTCATAATCTGTGCCCATTGCACTATGCATTTCCTCACTGTGCCACTAAGGAATCATGGAGGACTTCCCAACATACACTGAGTAATGATAGACAAAAACAGGCACTGTAAACACCCTGATTCACTTACACGCCAAACAAACCAAAATATGCACAACTTGAAATGTAAACATTTCTGGTGCATATTCCACTTTATATTTAAATAACAAATAAAAAGACAACTGCTGATAGTTATCATAAAACATTCAAAAATATGGAAAAAATTAAGGTCTCTTTCTAAATTTGCATCAACTAAAGCTTTCAAAATGGTGACTACCAATCTATCCCATCTTATTAAAGTCAGTCTGTTCATGGTCCAGAATCAAACTGTAAAATTGCTTTCCTCATCCCTGGCATCTATGCAGTCAGGCAAGAGAACACAGTGACAGAGCATTTGATGACTCGGGTGTTTGTACTCACTGAACTTATTTGTCAATATCTGGGCTGATGGTTTTTGGCTCCTTGGGAAACTATTAATGCCAGAACACCTGCGCCATAATCAGTTCACCAGTCAAATATTACATCAAAGTTGCCTTTGATTTAAGACTTATTTGCTGATGAAGGAGGGCTTACAGCTTCTATATTAACAAGAACTCATCACAAGGCTTCAGACTAGCCTTAATCCATAGCAGTGACTGAGTTTGAAGAGTTTCTGGACCGTCACCCCATCTTTTGTGTGTTTAGTCCCTAGGCTTTAACACCTACAACTGCAGAATATACCTCCTAATACAATGACTTACAAAAATGTTGACATTGAAAGTTTCCATCTTGATTTTCAAATCCTTCCCTGCTGCTATCCTCCAGCCTTATTACTTCTGATATCTGTGCTTTCCTGCAACTTTGGCCTCCTATTCAAGATTTTCTCCCCATCCCACCCCCAATTTCCATTGTCCCATGATTGGTAGTTCTGGTTTCACCTGCCTGGGTCACAAGTTTTGGAATTCCCTCCCTAATGCTTCTCACTTTCTCCCCTCCTTTAAGATGCCTGATTTATCTGTTTTGATATCTCCTCCTTTGGTACAGTGTTGATATTTTTGAGAATGCTTTTACTGAAGAGTCTTGGGACATTTTCCTGCATTAAAAAGATGCTGTACTCTCATTGCACATCAGTGATTCTTCAGGATTAGTGCAGGAAAAAAGAGAGAAGAGGATTTTTTTTTCTCTGCGAGCAAATTGCTGCCTGTGGTCTTTTCGACTCAGTACCACACTGTGCACAAATGCACTGCACAAAGATGTGGTCAGCCAGCACTACTGAATTTTCAGCCTGACAGAGGGGAAAAGAGACAGCACATACAGCAGGGAGTCCCATCACCGATTGGAAGCCAACTATCTTCCATTGAAAAAGTGACATGTGGAAATTAGCCAAGAGCAAGAGCATACTTGGGTGTAATCCCCCCCTACAATCAAAAATCCTTTCAATGCTCACTATCTGATTACACATTCTGAAATGGATACTGGAGTGTAGTCTGTGAACTCCCCTGGAACTGAATTCCAACCCAAGGAACAACACCCAGTCTGTTCTACTGTGCAATAACCAGAGTGGTAGAAGGTGAACTGCTTAGATCTTTATCTTCTTTTGTCTAACAATTGCTGTGTTCTATGGCCTTCACTTGTTGGGTAGCATTATTATGATTAATTATGAATGGTGATGTTGGCTACCAATTCCAACCATCTCTTTGGCAACTCTCTTAAGTTGGAGTAGAAATCCGCAAACGTCATGCCACATTGTATCCCAGTATGTGTTTCCGACCACACAAATGCATCATCACTAATGTCACCTACCTCCCATCGCCATAAGACTGCGCTGATTAAGCAACACTTTGATTTTAAAAGTCAAATTATTGTCTTCAAATCCCTCCATGTCCTCACCTCTCCTGCTGTTAACCAGTTCCAGACCCCTCCTAGATGTTTGCAGTTATTTAATACTGGCATCTTGAATATCCCTGATTTTAAGTTCCCATCTGTGACTTAAGCAACCTCAACCTTAAGTTTTGGAGTCCTATCCCTAAACCTGTTAAACTCTCTTCCTGTCTTTCTTGCTTTACAACACCAATTAAAACCAATTAGAAATTGAAACAGAAGTTGCTGGAGAAACTGAGCACATCTGGCAGCATTTATGGAGAGTGAAACAAGAATTAACATTTTGGTGGCTCAGTGGTTAGCACTGCTGCCTCACAGTGCCAGGGACCTGGGTTCGATTCACCCTCGGGTAACTGTCTGTGTGGAGTTTGCATATTCTCCTCGTGTCTGCGTGGGTTTCCTCCTACAGTCCAAAGATGTGCAGGCTAGGTGGATTGGCCATGCTAAATTGCCAGTAGTGATTCAGGGATGTGTAGATTAGGTGGGTTATAGGGGGATGGGTCTGGGTGGGATGCTCTGAGAATCGGTGTGAACTTGTTGGGCCGAAGGGCCTGTTTCCACACTGTAGGGATTCTGTGATGAGTTCTGTGAAGACCCCGCCTATTAAACTTCCCATATTATCTCCTTATGATTAGTTGTGGAGGGGACTAAAACCAGTACTGTTAGAGAATTCACCCCTCTCCTCAGAAGCATGCAGGGGAGCCAAATAAAGTGCTGTGAAGAAAGAAGGGGGAAAAAAAGTGAAACTCACCCCTTGAGCCTGTTCTGCCATTTAATAATGCCATGGATGATCCAATCACTCCATATTTCTGCTACAGCTGATAATCTTTAATCCTTGCTCATCTTCCCAATTTGCCAACTGCAATTGTTTTCCTAATAAAGTCTCAAACAGAAGAATTAAAACGTGCTGAAAGAGGAAGAGAGGAGTGCTTCAAGCTTTCAGCTTTTTCCACATCTTTCCTAAGCTCTAATGTGGCTAAATTAGAACACATTTTTCATATACTCACATATGGGTTGCCATTGCACTGCAGGCTGTATGATGGTATCTGTTTCTGGTAATGAGAGAAATCTGCATGGAGGGTAGGTGTACATCCACAGACAATAGGGATAGGAAGGAAAGTCAGTTGGAGATCAAAACAGAAAATGTGTACTCATCAGGTCAGATAGTACCTGTAGAAAAAAGTGTTAATGTTTCGAGTTGAAGAAAGGTCAATTATTTAGGTGGAAACTATAGGAGGTTGTGATACATAGGCAACTGTGTCTTTATTTTCCACATTCATTCACAGGACATGATGCCTCTGGCTAGGCCAGCATTTATTGCCCATCCCGGGCAGTTAAGAGTCAACCACATTACTGTGGGTCTGAAGTCACATGTAGGCCAGACCAGGTAAGGACAACGGTTTCCTTCCCAAAAAGAGACATTAGCAAACCAGATGGGTTTTTGCTGACAAATCAACAATGGTTTCATTATCATCATTAGACTCCTAATTCCAGATTTTCAGGTCCCCAGAACATTATCTGGATCTCTAGATTAATAGTCTAGTGATAATACCACTAGGCTACTGCCTCACCCTGTATGAGGTTTCCCTCCTCACATGAAACAACAATGTTAGCATACAGATACTGCACTTAATTAGAAAGAAAAATGGAATGTTGGCTTTCGGTGGAAGGGGCATGGATTATAAAAGTGGGGAAGTCTTGTCACAACCGTACAAGACAGAGAACAGGCATCAAGCTCTGGTGTCATCTGCAGATCGTGGAACTCAACGAACACCCACTCTCTCAGCATCACTAAATCTACCCCACTAATAGCACTTCAAAAGAAAATACCACACGAATGTTAACCGCTTTTCGTGGATGTTAACCATAAACGTTAGAAGGCCCCGATTGTAAAATGTCAAAAAAAGGTGTCAACACACACACAAGAATAAACAAAGGGGTATGAGAATCGGCCTCAGCAAAATTTTCAACGTTTCCTCCCCTACCAAAAGACGTCGACTAACTGAATAAAAAGCACATGCGCAGCGTTATTAGGCGCGAGAGGGTTCGGTTATCTGACAACAGGTGCACACGCTGAGCGAACAGCAAGATTGCGAAGGCTGCCCAAAGCTGCCCTTTGTCAGTTAGCCCACTATTGTTAAAACTACACTTCATTGATTCTCCAGAGGTGCAAAATTCTCGCCAAAATGAAGCGTTCCCTTGATCTGGGATTAAAATTTAGATTTTGCGAAACAATGAGTTAAATCCGAGACAGCATTCGTTTCCTGAACCTCAGCTGTGCAAAACCATTTGACATCATCAACCCAGAAAGCGTCTTCAGGTTTAGGATCTTGATAACGACAATTTGCGTTTGCATATCGCCTTTAACGTACTAAGGGATCCCAAGCCATCTACAACGGCATTATCACACAAAACTTGTCCTAGTGTCATCATTTCTGGTGCCATGGTTAATCAAAAAAAGGTAGGTTTTAAAAAGGAGCATCTTCAAAACGAAAGCAATTCCAGTGGGAAAGGGAAGGTGAAAAAACTACCAGTATAAGGTCTAACTTAGTATTAATAACCATTGCTGAATTGCACACGCGCACAAGTGACAAGATGTCAAGATCAGGGCAACATTGATAGCTGCAGTGATTGAACAATAACCCTACTGCTCGTGAAGAATATCCACTGGGTTTTTCATTTACCTGTATTGCATCCCTGTCTCGAACATCCAAGGAATCAACTACCTGGGAGGTATTTTTCAAAGTCTGAAAAGTAACAGTTGATTGACTGTTTGAGAGTAGATCCTTCATTGCACCAGTGTTGCTATGCAGTTCATTTTACACCTTTGTTTTCAGAGGATTAAATTAAACATGTACAATATGCATAATTAAAGCTAGCTTCCACTGTGGTGGGACTGACTTCAGAATTGAAGGGTGTACTGGCTAAAATGTTAACAGCTGATTCAAGAGGAACAGTGATTGGAGTAACTAACACACTACCTACTGTACCCATCAATTGCTTATGTACCTTGTCCCCCACTAAAAAGACGCTGACACATGCAAACAGTACTGCTCTAAACAACCCTCAGCAATAAATGGTGTCAGTCTCAGCCATGGGAGCTACCACAATGGAACCCAATCTTACTGTTCACTCCACACAAACACTCTCTGGTTAAAAGTACTTTTAAAGTGTATTATTCTATTGTCAAGGAAGACAATTGAATAAAAGTTAAAGTGATCACTGATCAGTGCAATGCAAGATATCCATTGAGAAAGGGATTGTTATTTAAAACCAGGACTTTTAGTTTATTATACACAGACGAAACATCAGCACAAAATCACAGCACAACGTCATAAATGGAAGGAATTTGGAGCATCTTGCCCAAGGCCTAAAAGTTTTAAAACATTAATAAAAACACCAAGCAGGAAACAAAGTTTAACAAATATCTCTACCAAACCGGTAACTAATGTGAACAAATATTTATTTTGAGGAATTCAAGCCATGAACAAATATGGCAAGGGCTTATTTATTGTGAAGTAAACAAATTTCACATTATGCTGGCGATATTTTTGCAAACATTTTTAAATGAAAAGAAAAAAAACAAGGAGATGCTGAAAAAGTGAACCAAACATAAAGATGCAGGAAAGATTCAGTGGGTTAAGCAACTCCATGGCAAGAGCAGAGCAGTTAACACTTGAGATGTGGACCATTCATCAGAAGGGCAATGAGAGATATGCAGACATGTCTGATGAAGGATCCTAACCCGAAACAGCAAATGCCGTTATAGAAAAATAAAATATGTGCAGGATTAGGCCATTTGAACCTGCTTTTCTATTCAATATGATTATGCAACTCAGTACACTGTTCCTGCTTTCTCCCCATTCTCTTTGACCCCTTTTATCCCAAGAACTATATCTAATTCCTTTTTGAAAACATTCAATGTTTTAGCCTGAACTGCTTTCTGCGGCAGTGAATTCCAGAGGCTCCCCACTCTCTGGGTGAAGACATTTCTCCTCATCTGGGTCCCACATGGCATTGCCCCTATCCTTAGACTGTGATCCCTGGTTCTGGATATCCCAGTCATTGGGAGCATCCTTTCTGCATCTACCCTGTCTAGTCCTGTTAGCATTTCATAGGTTTCTGAGATTGCCCCTCATCCTTCTAAACTGCGATGAATGTAGTCCTAACCAATCCAGTCTCTTTGTACCGATCATCCCAGGAATCCGTCTGGTTTTGCACTCCCTTCACTGTCAGAATAGTCTTCCTCAGATTATGGAGAACAAAACTGTCCACAATACTCCATGTGTGGAACAAAGACTCTGTGCAATTACAGCAAGACATCCCTGCTCCTGTATTTGAATCCTTCATGAAGGCCAACATACCATTTGCCTTCTTCACCAACTGCAGGTTTACTTTCAGGAACAGGTGTACAAGGGCGCCCAGGTTTTGTTACACCTCCCTCTTTCCCAATTTATCACCACTCAAAATAATAACCTACCTTTCTGCTTTTTCTGCAAAAGTGGATCACCCCACATTTATCCAAATTATACTGCATCAACCATGCATTTGCCCACTCATTCAACTTGTCTAAATCACAATGAAGCATCTCTGCATCCTCCTCACAGTTCACATCCCCTTCGAGCAAACTTGGAGATATTACACTTAGTTCCCTCATCTAAAATCATTCATATATATTGTGAATATCTGGGGTCCTAGCAGATTCCCCTGGAACCCCCTCGTCACTGCCTGCCTCTCGGAAAAAGACCCATTCGGTCCAACTTGGTTTCCTGTCTGCCAGCCAGTTTTCTACCCATGTCAGGACACCACCACCAATCCCATACTCTTTAATTTTACATGCTAATCTCTTATGTGGGATTATCAAAAGCCTTCTGAAAGTCCAAACAAACCACATCCACTGGCTCCCTCATTCAACTCTAATGGTTACATCCTAAAAAAAATTCCAGTGGATTTGTCAAGCATGGTTTCTCTATTGCAAATTCATGCTAAGTCTGTCTGATCTGTGACTGTTTTCCTGGGTTGTCTGTTGTTAAATCTTCTAAAATGGACTCTAGCATTTTTCCCCACCAGTCAGCCAGACACCAATAATTGCTGTATTTTTCTCTGCCTCCCTTTTTAAACAGAGGAGTTACATTAACTTTGTTTTTTATTCATTAATGGGATGAGGGCATTGCTGGCCAGGCAGCATTTATTGCCCATCCCTAATTGCCCAGTGGGCAGTTCAGAGTCAACCGCATTGCTGTGGGTCTGGAGTCACACGTAGGCAGTTTCCCTCCACTGGTTGGGGGTGGCAGCGTGGGTGGTGAACATGCAGCCCTCCGCTCCAATCCCAACCTCACCATAAAACCCGCGGACAAGGGAGGCGCAGTTGTAGTATGGCGCACTGATCTCTACATCGCCGAGGACAGGCGCCAACTCTCCGACACCTTCTCCTACCGCCCCCTTGATCATGACCCCACCCCCAACCACCAAACCATCATCTCCCAAACCATCCACAACCTCATCACCTCAGGTGACCTCTCACCCACAGCCTCCAACCTCATCGTTCCCCAACCCCGCACCGCCCACTTCTATCTCCTTCCCAAAATCCACAAACCTGACTGTCCTGGTCGACCCATTGTCTCCGCCTGCTCCTGCCCCACCGATCTTATCTCCACCTATCTCAACACCATTTTCTCCCCCTCGACCATGACCCCCACAATTCCCGCAACTCATCCCTCACACCCCCTCCCCGCAATAACAACCAAAACAGAATCCCCCTCGTCCTCACCTACCACCCCACCAACCTCCGGATCCAACACATCATCCTCCGACACTTCTGCCATCTGCAATCCGACCCCACCACCAAAGACATTTTTCCCTCCCCACCCTTATCTGCTTTCCGGAGGGACCACTCTCTCCGGGACTCCCTTGTCCGCTCCACACTCCCCTCCAGCCCCACCATACCCGGCACTTTTCCCTGCAACCGCAGGAAGTGCTACACCTGCCCCTACACCTCCCCCCTCACCCCCATCCTAGGCCCCAAGAAGACTTTCCACATCAAGCAGATGTTCACCTGCACATCTACTAATGTGGTATACTGTATCCGCTGTTCCTGTCGTGGCCTCGTCTACATCGGGGAAACCAAGCGGAGGCTTGGGGACCGCTTTGCAGAA